CACTTGACTGCTAACCAGGAGGCTGGCGGTTCAAACCCACCAGCCACTCCTCGGAAGGAAGGTTGGGCAATCCTACTTCCGTAGTGATAACTGCCTCGGAAACCCAAGGAGGGGTCGCTAGGAGTCGGGGCCGACTCTATGGAAAATAACAACAACAACAACAATCATATAAAAGGAGCTCTGGTAGCATAGTGCCTAAGGCACTTGACTGCTCACCAGAAGGCTGGCGGTTCAAACCCACCAGCCACTCCTCGAAAGGAAGGTTGGGCAATCCTACTTCCATAGTGATACTGCCTCGGAAACCCAAGGAGGGGTCGCTATGAGTTGGGGCCGACTCGACGGCAAACAACAACAACAACAACATCATATACAAAATTTGTAAAATGGTATCAATTTCATTTAATGCCCTGCCAGTTCCCTTCCACTGCAATGCTCGCTTTTCCCTATGTCTTGTCTGCTTGGCATCTATGGGGCTTTGCTTTGGACAACTGATGCCTGTTATCTTGATGCTCTAAGCACATGCTTACCTTGCTTGTTGGGTATTCATCCTTGGTTGTACCTAGGGTTGCCATGAGTCATGGCCTTGAAGGCAATTAACAACAGCCAACCACCAGGTGTAATTCTAAAGAGTAGTCAGGATTGAGAACCACTGGCCTAAGTGGCCTTTCCCATCTTGATATTCCTGTTTACTTGTGCACAGTTCTTCAAGGTGTGGAGCCTCAACCCCTAGCTGGCAGCCAGGAAAAGTCCACAATAATAACTAGTTGAATTGAAACTCCTCATGATCGAGGCATTTTAAAGCAGATATCACTGGTACTACACTACTGAAGCATCAGCTATATTATGTTTGATATTGCTTACTGATTAGTTCATGTGTGTTCTTCTTGGCTGCCTAGCCAATTATGAGCTTCTCAAGGGCAAGAACAATGGTATATAAGCCTGGGAATGAGTTTTGCTATCAGGTGATGCTGAGTTGATCCCAACTCATAACAACCCCACATGACAGACAGCCCTATAGGGTCTTGGCTGTAAACTTTTTGGAAGCAGATCACCAGGTCTTTCTCTCATGAAGAGGCTGGGTGGGTTCCAACTGCTGGCCTTTCAGTAAGCAATTGAGTGCTTAGCCATTGTGTCAGCATGACTCCTTAAGCATGAGTAGGTGCTTGATAATATTTGTTGATTTACTGAAAAAAAAGGAGGTAAGGGACAAGAATATTTTTTGAACGTCAGTATACTGTCTTGTTAAACTAGAAAGAAAATGGATTTTCAAAAGTCGATAGTATAAAATACTATTACAGCTTTTAGATGTCTTGGTATATATTATGTGTAATGACATGTAAATATTGACTTTAAAAAGATTTTAGACTAGTCACTTGCTTTTATCCAAGCTCCTAACTCATAAATGATGATGATTTCCCAGCACACAATATAAGGAGTTTTATTGAAGACTGGATTTGATCACTGGAACCCACTTACTTTTTTCCCTTAAATGTCTTCCAGGGGAAAAAAAAAAAAAAAAACCTACGATGTCTGGTGGGGCAGAAATCTTAAGAATTTGGAAGCTCTGGTGGAATAGTGCCTAAGGCATTTGACTGCTAACCAGAAGGATAGTGGTTCAAAGCCACCAACCACTCCTCGGAAGGTTGGTCAATCTACTTCCATAGTGATACCGCCTCAGAAACCCAAGGAGGAGTCGCTATGAGTCAGATCCGACTCGACAGCAGTGAATTTAAAGTGCTTCCAGAAAGTTCCAAAGTGCAGAAGCAAGTAAATACATAATATTTAAGAGAGTGCCACTCTTTTTGGGGGGTGGGTATTTGACGCAGTGGTTAAGGCAATTGGCTGCTAACCAGAAGGTCAGTAGTTTGAACCCATCAGCTTCTCCATGAGAGAAAAATGAGGCAGTCTGCTTCCATAAAGATTTAACAAACAAACAAACAACAACCCAAATTCACTGCTGTGGAGTTGATTGGGTTTCCAAGGCAATATTTCTATGGAAGTAGATTGCCCAATCTTCCTTCCGAGGAGCAGCTGGTGAGTTTGAACCACCAGCCTTCTGGTTAGCAGTCAACTGCCTTAGGCACCATACCACCACAGCTCCATAAAGATTCACAGCCTTGGAAATCCTATGGGGGCAATTCTACTCTGTCCTATAGGGTTGCTGTGAATCAGTATTGATTCAATGGCAGTGGGTTTGGATTTTGGTTTTATGGGTAAAGAGAGGTATGAGATTAGAATACCATCATTTTAATTAATAAAGCTATTTCATCAAGAAAGTACTGTTAATAACCAAACAAGAAATATGTATTGAGTGCTTATTCTGTGCAAGGCCCTTTGCTAGAAGCCATATAAATAAAAGGCACAGCCCTTTTCATGAAGTCCTGAGAGGCGGATGTGACACCATTCCTGAAAAATGATTGTTGTTGGCAACTTGATTCCACAGGTAACCCCCTGTGTGCAGAATAAAACTGCTCCATACGATTTTCAAGGCTCTGACTTTTCAGAAGCAACCAGGCCTCTCTTGGCTGGTTGTGGACTGCCAACCTTTTAGCCAGTAGTTGAGCACTTCACCATTTGTGCCACCTACAGACTCCTGAAAAAAATGACCAATGATTCTTAATAGTATTATTGACCCCCTCTCTAATTAATGCAATGTTCTCTTTAACACTAATTTCAGTCCTTCTTCAATTCTACAAATTTACTGCAGTTATTAATGAAGCTTTAGAGAAAGACTAAAACACCCTGGTGGCAAAATGGTTAAGTGCTCGACTGCTAACCCAAAGGTCAGTGGTTTTAACCCACCAACCTCTCCATGGGAAAAATGTGGCAGTCTGCTTCCATAAAGATTTACAGCCTTGAGAACCTGCAAGATCACTATAAGTGAGGCTTGACTTGACAGTAGTACGGTTTAAGTCAACTATTTTGCCCAAATAGTGAGGAGAGCAGATGCCCTGAGTCCTGCCTTTAGCCCAAGTACACACTGCAGAGTGGAATGTGACCAGGAGGCTGTCTCAGTAACATCCTGTTTAGAACAGCTTTGTCTGCCAGACCATATAAATGGAGTTTGTGTTGCACAGTGCCTAGGGTATTTATTTGACTGCCAACCAGAAGGTAGGCAGTTCAAACCCACCAGCTGCTCTATGGAAGGAAGATGGGACAATCTACTTCCCTAAATATTTATTGCCTTGGAAACCCAATGGGGGTCACTATGAGTCAGAAATGACTCGATGCCAGACTATACAGCCTCTTTTAAGAGTTGTTAGAGTCAAGAGATTAAAAATGTTACTGTAATTTGCAGAGAGGAAGCAAAATCCTGAACCCTTCTCTGTTGCTAATTTCTGCAAAAGTCTTCCAAAAGGGTACTGGAGATGAAGACATTTCCCCTCAATACAAAGCAAATGGATTTTGATTATTAGGGATAACTAAGAAAATAATTTTGTTTCAATACAGACCCTCTGAAGATAAATTGCAAATAGATTATGTCTGAGACTAGACTTTGGAATCTACAACAAAAAGGTGTGGAGGATGTCATTGTTGTTTTTGTTGATCTGTGACAAATTCCAAATACATAGGTAATTTAGGGTCCTGCTTGTCTTAATTGTGAACAAGACATTCTGCCTCAATGCTGCTGACCATCAGGTCACTCTTTACATCAAGTGTCTGGTTTATTCATCCAATGATTAAGCAAATACATAAAAATAATCTAAACCAATACCATGTGTATTATTTTGCTCCATGATTAGCTTTGATGGAGATGAAGTCTTCATTGCTCAACTTGCAGTGATTAAAAAGAAATCACTTATTATTATTATTTAACTAATATCTTTGGGAAAAAAGAAAACCAAGTGCAGTTCCTTTCACAAGGTATTTACAGTCCAGAGATGGGGCTGTGACACCATACCTGAAACATGACCAATGGCATTTTTCATCCCTTCAATGATTAATGCAATGTTCTTTTTAGAAGTGATTTCATTCTTTCTCAAATGCTACAACTGTCGTAAGTCACTTTCAATTACTTGTAAGGAATTAGTAGTCATCAGTTGGCTTAATAAGGAAAAAAATACTGAAGACCTGTATATCTAGTTACTTAAAAGCTAAATAATATTTCAATTTCAATTAATCTTAAAGAAAAAACAATAAAGCAGTCTGTATCTCCAAGCTGACAGAGAAAACGTGAAAATTAATTATTTGTATCCTCATCAACTTCTCTGTTTGACATGGTATTAAAAAAAAAAAAAAAAAAAGCATATTAGTCAACCAGGATTAGATTAAGCATTCTACATCTTTACTCAAGGAAGGCCTTGATATCATCACCCACTCATTCCCAAAACAGGCCTTTGGCGCCAACAAAAAACTAGCAGGGGACTTAGCATGAAAAACAAACCCATGTTTTATTTATATTTACAAAATCTATATTGTGATGTGTACACAATTTAAAAAAATACAGAGCATTCATGCCCATGTACTCTACAAAAAAAAAAAAAAAAAAATGTCTGACTGTACTCCATGCACACACGATGCACTAAGCATAAATACATTTACACAACAGAAAGGTCGCTCTTGTTTAGAGCATACACGAAAATGGATATTGTAACTTGACCTGAACAGGACAAACTTACAAAGTTTAAGAAAGTGAGTATTTCTCTGAAAGCTAACCCACCAGCACAGCCTAATCATATTTTATCTTAAGCCTGTCTTCCCTCAACGTAGTCCAGTAAAAGAGGGGGGGGGCATTATTTTCACAGCAGTCAAAACCATTCACACGATACATAAATTTAATCTACAAAATACATAAGGAGGAAAAAAGAAACGCAATCAAATTATTGCGTCCATAAGACTAATGATACCAATTAAAAGAAACCTGAAAGCTTGCTGATTTTACTTTAAGACGGCATCTGAGACCACAGAAATCGCTTGTGGCTGCTTCAGGGAGGGCTGCAGCTCGGGGGCCCGGCACTCGGCACCTCTTCCTACAGGAATTGGGCCCGAGGCCCGACGCTCTAATTGGCCATCTGAAAGGGCTCGGGCTGGAAGCTGAAGAGCCTCTGGCTGTAGGGCTCACTCTCGCCCGACAGCTTCGCGCCCGCAAACGGGAGGTAGTGGTCGCGGCCGAAGTGCTCACACTGGAGAGTCATCCAGTCCCGTTCTGAACTGAATCGCTCGGCCTCGGCCAGGATGCGGGTCAGAGCCATGATGTAGCTCAATGCCATCTGCAGGGTCTCGTACTTGGACAGCTTTTTATCCTGGCCCCACTGGGGAACCACCCTGCGCAGTCGGTCGAAGGCTGTATTAAGCCCCTGCATCCGGCGCCGCTCGCGCGCGTTGGCTGCCAGACGCCTGCGCGCTGCGCTCTCCAGCCGTTCGGGCCCGGCGCAAGTGCCCGCGCACTCGGCGCCGCCCGCGCACGGGGGCGCGACGCGCGCTCCCGCCGCCGGGCCGCTAGGCTTGCAGGATTTCATAGTTGTCTGCGCCGCCACGAGGTCACAGAAGGGGAGCCCGGAACTCACCGGCCCGCTCAAGACCTGTGTAGGTGGGCTTGTCTTCTGAACCGTTTACTGATGTGGCTCTACTGTAGCAAAAGTTGTAGTCAAAGCAGCTCACATGAAATCAAATAGTTTACAGTGGGGAGTGCAGGGCTCGAGCTTCTGTCCTACTGGATAACCAAGCTCCTGTCTCTTCAGTTGCCCAAATTTAGGGGCAATTAGGTGTTGAAGAGAATGTCATTCTCCCAACGTGAAGTTGAAAAAAAGGGAACGTTCGTTCAGTAAAGTTTGGTCTGGCTGGTTCGGAAAAGGCCTTTCAAGTTCTCCAAAAAGCCCTACACTCCTTTTCAAGATGCAGTCTGTCCCAAAGCTTAGATGGGGAAGGAGCACTTTTTCTGCAGTAGTTGTCTGGGAATGCTGGATGAATCTTTGAGGAGAGAATTTATAGCCGAGGGCTGAAGGAGGGAACAGGTGGTGGCAGGTGGGCGGGCGTCCTTAGCCTTCTAACTCAGCACCTTCCTACCCTGGGAACTGCGGGGGGAGGGGGCGACGCACAGCAAAACCCTGACATTACAGCCTTCGTCTGTTGAAGTGTCTCCAAAGCTATGTCTGTCCGACACTAACACACCATCTGGAGTGGCCTGGCTGTCCCCAAAAGAATAACAAGATGGGGGGTGGGGGTGAGTGGAAAGCTGCATCTCTAGTTAATCTTTTCTCTTATCAGTGCACAGCTTACATATCAAAAACTTAACCAGGGTTTTAAAATTAGAAATCTTTTATGTGAGGATGTTGCTCTTGGAATTATGAGAAGTATCAGAACTTTAGTATGAGCAAATTGGGTTTTTTCAAGATGTGTGACAATTTTGGATAATGTCAATCTAATATATTGACATTTTTATTTCAGCTATTAAATAAATTGAGACACATTAGGAGATCTCAATATTATTGCAGATCTGGAAATTTACTGTGCAAATATTGTGGCAGTTTTCTAAAGAATAATTTATTATGATATATCAAAAGATATTAATGCATATACCAAATAGATTTATATTATTCTAATTATACAACTGAATTGCATAAGATCAAATACTGAGGCAAATTAATTCAGTATTTATCCTCTATTCCCCCTGACACAGGTTCATAAAGTTTGGAGGACATACACTGAGGTGATAATTAGTTACTTAATTTGACATTTAAATATAATAAACAATAATGCACATATATATGCAAAATACAAACATCTAAGTAACTTGTGAAGTTTTCTAAAAATTTCTTATGGAAGATTTTCCCCGCCTCATAAAGCTGTAAGTATTTATACTACTTGGATGTTTCAGTTGTGTCACCTGTGCTCAGGAACAATAATGGAGCATGATTTCCACTATTACTAATGATTATCTGATTTATACAGAGAAATCATAAACCTGATTCTCTCATCTCAGCTTGTTTCCAGCTCTTAAGAAGGAGTGAAAGGGCAAAGACATCAGGCTTCAAATAAATTCATGCTTTCTGGATTCTTCAGGAAGAACAAGTATGCTCTTTCTCCTTTTGAAATATGGATTATGTCATCATTATTCTCAGATATTTTTGTTTAATTAACTTATCAACAAGCTCTCACAAATTGAGAACCTTCACCGTGACTTGTTTCCCCCATCACTGCCTCAGACTGTAACACCATTGTAGCTGCCCTGACTCCAAGCCCTGTCTTCCCATAAATAGTTGATTAATCCTCAGCTGAAGCAATGAAATGAAGTTGAATAACATGAAGACAATAGGATGCAATTGAACATTAATGAACTGCAGCATGACAGATGTTGAACACAGACTTCTGCAAAGGAACCACTCAACTCTGTGACTCTGAGTCCTAACAGTCTTGGTCAGGGACAGCAGTCCTGTGACAGGAAATACTATGTTATTTAGTCAAAATATCAATATATTTTTTGAGTTTTCATGGAAATCTGCCCTATTAATGTTATTGTTTCTCATGTTCATTGATTTCATCCCTTTCTCCAAGGACCCTGCCCTATGCTCATCTTTGGAATGTTTTTTCTGCAAAACAAGCTGTGCCCTTGTCCAAGACACTATCTTCTAAAGTGCTAATGAGTTAGATGCTCTTGCAGGCCATGTATGCAATGTTGGTGAGATTATAACCAGTGCACCAAGAGCATCAGAAGCATAACTTGAAGAGAAAAAGGAAACATAGCAGTATCCACACACCGTAGCAATATTAGAACATAAACCAGCAGATAACTATGGAGTAAAAATGAATCTGACAATAAAGACTGTGTTGCAGTAAAGGGCCTTCAAGGTCATATGGTAAACATTTCCCAAATGTATTCTAAAGAACATCAGTCCTACAAAGATACTTCTGGGGAAAAGAATCCTGTCAAATAAATTTGGGAAACACATCTGATCTCCTTCTTGGAGAATCATGAAGCGAAATTGGTATATTAAAGGCTCTGAGAAGTCCTAGAGCAGAGACATTTATTGAATCCAACATTTCCTAGGCGTTTTAACACAGAACTATTTTTTTTCTTCCCCCAGAAATACCCATTAACAAAGTTCCCTGGAACACACAACACACTTTTTCAAATCTGTTCTAGTACTATTTATTTTAGTACTATTTGTTTTATAGAAGAGGAAACTGAGCTCCAGAGGTTTAACACCAAGCTCAAAGACAGCCAGTTAATGACCAAATTAAAACAAGAAGTCAAATCTCCTGAATCCTTTGATTTTAGACACTTTAAAATTATGAAACCAAAAGATCTTCATTTTACATTAGGCCAACTGAGATCTACCAGGGGCTTTCCAAAGTCAGGCAAGTTACTAGAGTAACCAGTGTAGGAATTAGAAATTCCTGTGCTGTTCCTGTTAGAAATTGTGTGCTTCAAGGACAGTGTCACTTATTTTATAACCCCAGTGTAGTGCCTAAGGCATGTGACTACTAACCAGAAGGCTGGCACTAGGTAACCAGAAAATATTTAATTTTTTAAAATGGGAAATCTCAAAAGACACAAACAATTAAAAGGGGGAGGAGGAAACACTTGGTGAAAAATGTTTGTTCTGAAATTTGCAGAGAAATAAGGAAGATGAAGAATGGGGCTTCTTTATGGAGGGGGTAAAAGCTGGGAAACTCTGGAAAACCAATTCCCCCAAAGACTAAGAGGTGAGCCAGCAAAGGGCAAATGAATGACAAAGTTCAGCTGCACTTACATTTCACTAAAGACTGGAAGTGCAAGATGTTAGGTGTCCAATAGCTTTATAATATACGACACAGTTAACTTCTAGTTGTTGCCATTGAGTCATTACTGGAGGGCGAGGGGTACCTGCAAAGGACTGATATGTTTAGAGAAAGGAAGGGAAAAGCAGAGTCTTGCATCTGCCCCTTGCCCCTCAAAGGTCCTGGGAAGACAAAACCCAGAAACAAAACAAAACCCATTGCTGTTGAGTTCATTCCAACTCACAGCGACCCCACAGAAGAGTAAAACTGCCTCCGTAGGACTTCCAAGGCTATAATCTTTATGGAAGCAGACTGCCACATCTTTCGCCTGCAGGGTGGCTTGTGGGTTCGAACCACTGAGCTTTCAGTTAGCATCCAAGTGCTTAACCACTGTGCCAATCTACTTTTGAAAAGTCAGCCGCTGAAACCCCCATGGAGCGTGGTCCTACTCTGAAGCACATGGGATCACCATGAGTCAGAATCGACTTGACAGCAACTGGGGAAAAAATTGTATATTCCAGATAGTTTTTGCAAATGAAAGTAAAAATGAACCCATCATGGGTTTTTGCAGGTTTTGATGAAATTTTTAATGAATGGTTATGGAGCCCTTTTCACATAAAGCTGCAGTAGAAAACATGATGTGAATCCCAACTTTACCATTTACTAGTTATGTGACCTAGGACAATTTACTTAACCTCTCTGTGACTCTTACCTCACTGTAAAATAGGGCTAATGATAGGACCTATTGCATAGAATTGGTGTGAAGATTTAATTAGTTACTCTTTGTAAAATACTTAGATTTGAGCCTGCTATAAAATTTAAAGGAGCTCTGGTAGCATAGTGCCTAAGGCACTTGACTGCTAACCAGAAGGCTGGCGGTTCAAACCCACCAGCCACTCCTCGGAAGGAAGGTTGGGCAATCCTACTTCCGTAGTGATACTGCCTCGGAAACCCAAGGAGGGGTCGCTATGAGTTGGGCCGACTGGACAGCAAATAACAACAACAACAATAAAATTTAAATGCAATATAAGTGTTTGTTTGAATAAAATAACCCACTGCAGTTATCCAGAGCATAGGATAACGACCCCTCCTCCTGCTCAATTCTGTTTTATTTCCCCCACTCTTCAATGCTAATATCACAGTGTGAGCAGGAACAGGCAAAGAGGGGCAAGAGTTAATTTAGCCTTTGACTAAATCTGAGCAATGTGAGCTTGAAATAGCAGAGACAGAAGCCAAAAGGTTGCTCAGGGAAAGCCTTCATTGTTGTCATTGTTGGTTCCCATCAGCAGATCCTGACTCTGCTGCCTCACGTGTGCAGAGCAGAAATAAATGTTCCATAGGGTTTTCTAGGCTGTGATCTTTCAGAAGCCAGTAGTCAGGTCTGTCTTCCGAGGTGCTTCTGAATGCATTCGAAATGCCAACCTTTATAGTTAGTAGTTGTGGTTGGTTATGTTTGTGTGTCAACTTGGCTGGGCCTGGTTGAGTGGCTGGGCAGCTGGTGGTAGTTATTCCCCATGATAAGACTGGCAATCAGCTCCATGGTGGGATCTTCCACAAGCAGCTGAGTAGCTGCTTTGGGTATGTGCTCTGCTTCCCGTATGCAAGAAGCAGCTTTGGGAATGGTCTCTAGCTTATGGCACACCTGGACCCTGCATGTAGCCGTGTCATTGTTCAGCAGCCTGTCCCTGCCATGCTCTGCCGACCTTGGGACTTACAAGAGACTTGAATTAATGGCCTGCCATGTGGTTTGGTAACATCG